GAACCCAAGAGCTGTGAGACCTGAGCCGAAGTCAGATGCTTACCTGACTGAGTCACCCAGGTGCCCCAACAACCAGCAGGCATTCTTTTTTTTTTTTTTTTTTTAATTTTTTTTAACGTTTATTTGTTTTTTGAGACAGGGAGAGACAGAGCATGAACGGGGAAGGATCAGAGAGAGAGGGAGACACAGAATCTGCAACAGGCTCCAGGCTCCATGCTGCCAGCACAGAGCCCAACGCAGGGCTCGAACTCACGGACCGCGAGATCATGACCTGAGCCGAAGTCGGACGCTTAACTGACTGAGCCACCCAGGCATTCTTAATCAAAGAAAGAACTCAAGGAACATAGCAGAATGAATAAACTATTAAAAAACATTTTTTTAATGTTTATTTTTGAGAGAGAGAGAGAGAGAGCGCGCGCGTGAGTGGGGAGGGGCAGAGAGAGAGGAAGACAAAGAATCAGAAGCAGGGTCCAGGCTCTGAGCCCCAGCACATGCGGGGCTCGAACTCATGAACTGAGAGATCATGACCTGAGCCGATGTCGGACGCTTAACGGTAGATGTAGAGTTTACTTAAAAAGAAGAAAAGAGGGACACCTGGGTGGCTCAGTCAGTTAAGCGTCCAAATTCAGCTCATGTCACGATCTCATGGTTTGTGAGTTTGAGCCTTGAGTCAGGCTCTGTGCTGACAGCTCGGATTCTGTGTCTCCCTCTCCCTTTGCCCCTCCCCCGCTCACACTCTATCTCTCTCTCAAAAATAAATAAACGTTAAAAAAAAAAAGAAGAGTGGGGCGCCTGGGTGGCGCAGTCGGTTAAGCGTCCGACTTCAGCCAGGTCACGATCTCGCGGTCCGTGAGTTCGAGCCCCGCGTCGGGCTCTGGGCGGATGGCTCGGAGCCTGGAGCCTGTTTCCGATTCTGTGTCTCCCTCTCTCTCTGCCCCTCCCCCGTTCATGCTCTGTCTCTCTCTGTCCCAAAAATAAATAAACATTGAAAAAAAAAATTAAAAAAAAAAAAAAAAGAAGAAAAAAAAGAGGGTACACATCAGCATGGAGGACAGACTCAACACTGTGGTTTCAAAACTCAGTTTTTCTCTGGATATTTATAACGGGCTTGTATTTATTGTCCAAAAGTTTCTATTCCATTTCAAATCCCTCTAAAGACAATTTCTGTAAAGTAACAATCAAAGATCTAAAAGAACAAAACAAAACACCAAAAAAAAGGGGGGGGCGCCTGGGTGGCTCAGTCGGTTAAGCATCTGACTTCAGCTCAGGTCATGATCTCACAGTTTGTGAGTTCGAGCCCCGCGTCGGGCTCTATGCTGACAGCTCTGAGCCTGGAGCCTGCTTCGGATTCTGTGTCTCCCTCTCTCTCTGACGCTCCCCCACTCACACTCTGTCTCTGTCTCTCTCTCAAGAATAAACATTAAAAAAAAATTAAAAAAAAACATTAAAAACAATTTTATATAAAAAAATTAAAAAAAGAACAAAATAATATGATCAGAGTAAAATCTCAGTTATATCAGTTGAGCATTTAACTCAAAACTTAACAAATATCCCTGTCATTTTAAGCAAATAACAAAGAATGCACCGTCTCTTCAATGATCAAAATCTGTCTTTGGGAGATAGCCGAGCAAATATTGAAAGCAACAGATGCTAGTCTGTATCTGCAATGAGACAAACACACCCCAAATACACCATTTCCTGTACTCACTTGGGTGATGGTTTTCAGGATGGCCAGGCGATCCGCTGGGGGCGGCAAACCCACAAAAAGTGTTTTGTCCAGGCGTCCTGGGCGCAGGATTGCAGGGTCAATGATATCTGGAGAAGAACGGAGAGTCAAGACTTCATAAAACAGAATCTTTTTAAATAATACAATTAACGTGAGAGGTGGGAAGAGCACTTTTTTTGAAAAGAAAAAACTGATAAACTAGACTTATTAAAAACTCCTGCACATCAAAGTATATCCTTAAGAAAAGCCCACCCACCTTCCTGGCCAAACCCGCTTGGCTCCAGGCCTCTCTCTCCCCTCTGAATGGGCGCCTTCTCCTGACCCTGCCCTCAGTCAGGGCTGAGGGGGGCTCCTCACTGGTCCCGTGTGTCCACTTCCCCACTCTGGGACCCTGTGTGGTGCCGGCAGAACTAGCCCACATCTGTCACCACGGCAGGCAGGCCCTCAAGACCTGACCGCGCCCTTTCTGGTGCCCTCTGTCATGTTCTCCTTGACTCCCACACCCCACTGACCAGACCTCTTGCTGTTCCTGAAACAACCTGAAGCCTCAAGCCTCCTCCTCTTTGCTCTCAGTGGTTCCTTCCTCTGAAACGCTTTCTTCCTCATTTACCCTACTGGAATTTTCAAACAAGGTCTCCTCCAGGAAGCCTTCCCTGAGTCCCCCAGAAGAAAGTTCCACCCTCCTTTGTGCCCACCATATTCTTGGTACCAGTAGCAAAGACCAAGTCCCAAACTGCCTGACACTGAAGTTCATTAGGAACAAAGAGCCCATTTCTTAAGCCTAATCGCTTCTAATGGTCCCTCAATCATTCCAGAGAAGCTTCCCAAAGCTCACAATAAGAAGACCTTTGTTCGTGTACAGACACACCTAGAAATGATGGGACTCGTGTTTTCTAATGCACGTATTGAGACTTAACCATTAATTTATTCTTCCATAAAGAAGCAGAGTTCTTTGGAGCTGAAATTCTGATTTTGTTTAGTTTTGTTCTTCAGTTACCTTGGGGAAGCTAAATACTTAATTCAGTGATTTTTCAATGTTCAACAAGCTACTGGACTTTCAAGATGCGAGGACAAACTACTCGGAAAGGGGGAAAGAAAGATTATTGCACGACACTCGCGGCATCGTGATGGAGCTGCCCCACGCGCCTGGGCGCCATCTTACTCTACAGGGCAAAGGGCCCCACACATTCAGGTGTCAGGAGACCTTTGCAGTTTAAAAACTTACAGAGGACCCCCCTGTGACCTTTCTCTCCTGCTCTTCCCTGACCCCATGAAAGTGCAAGCACGTTCTATGTGCTCTGCTTTCTTCTACTCAACACAATTATCCACATTCACCTAAGTTCCTGTGCGTGTCAGTACTTATCCTGTCTGTATTGCCGGGCAGTATTCCACTGTATGGACACGCCTCGCTTTCAGGACAGAAAGAAGTATTCATTCTTCTGTTGATGAACATGTGGTTTCCAGTTCTGGCCCACCAGAAGCACACGTGGACATGTGTTTGCGTGAGTTTCTCGTTCTCTCTGGTGAGTCCCTCCGTGTGTGGCAACATCACACTGTAGGATGTGCTGGTCTTAAAGAATCCGACAGAGCGTTTTCCAAGCTAGCTGTGCCATGTTACATCCCCTACAATTGCTTGTACGATCTTTCTAATTTTAGTTCTTTTTTTTTTTTATTTCAGAGAGCGAGCACGAGTGGGGCAGGGACTGTGAGGAAGATATTCCCAAGCAGGCTCCTGCCCAGCACAGAGCCCGATGTGGGGCTCAGTCCCATGACCGTGGGATCATGACTTGAGCCAAAATGAAGAGTCAGATGCTCAACACACCGAGCATCCCCCCACCCCCCGCCCCGGTGCCCTGGTTAATGTAGGGTTTGTAGTAGTCTCTCACGGCGGCCTTCACCTGCATCTCCCTGACGACCAGATGCCGAGCACATTCCCATATTTATCTGCCGCCGGGATCCCTACTGCAGTGAACGTCTGTGCAGTCCTTAGCCGATTTTTCATGTTTTTCTTTTGCTAAGTTTTGGGAATCCATCGCGTGCTGCAGATACAGATCCTTCATCAGAGACACATTCTGTAAATGTTGCCTCCACGTCTGTGTGGCTTGTCCTTGTGAAGAGCAGTTCAATTTATCCTTTTGCTCTAAAACATTGTGCTTCTGATGTCATACCTAAAAGATCTTTGCTTAGTCCAAGGTAGAAAACACTTCTCCTCTGCCTCCTTCCAGGAGTTTTACAGATGTGACTTTTCATTGGTCTTTGATCCATTTTGGGTTAATTTTTCATGTGGCTTCTAACAGGTTAAAGGTTATTTTTCCCACATATCTCACTGTCCCAGCACTATTTGTTTAAAACGCTATTCTTTCTCTACTGCATGGCCTTCGTGTTCTATAAAAACCCAATTATCCAGACCCTCTGCCTCCGGGACCGGACAACACCCTATTCTGAACTCAGCTCCTCGTTACCGATCAACCATGAGCTGCCAGGTTCGTCAGAATTATCCCACCGAGGTGGAGGCCGCCGTCAACGTCCTAGTCCACGCGCACCCGCGGGCCGCCTACCCCTCCCTCTCTCTGGGCTCCTATTTCCACCGGGAGGATGTGGCTCTGGAGGGTGTGGACCGCTTCTCCCACGAGTTGGCTAAGGAGAAGCGGGAGGGTGCTGAGCGTCTCTTGAAGGTGCAAAACCAGCACAGCAGCCTCGCCCTCTTCCGAGACGTGCAGAAGAGGTGCCGGGATGAGGGGGTGAAAGCCTGGATGCCATGGAAGCCGCCCTGGTCTGGACCAGGCCCGTTTGGATCTACACGCCCTGGGTCTGGCCCGCGCAGACCCCCAGCGCCGTGACTTCCAGGAGAAGCACTTCCTAGACGGAGGTGAAACTCATCAGGAAGATGGGCGACCCCCTGACTCACCTCCGCAGGCCGGCTGCCCCCCTCCCCAGGCTGGGCGAGGCCGGCATCTCTTGGAAAGGCTCACCCCCCCAGCATGACTCGGGGTCCCTGGAGCCCAGCAGCCCGTGAGGGCCCCCTCCGGCAGCCGCCGGATGCCAGGGCTGGTGCCCGAGCCTCTCTCTGTGGCCACCAGGCAGCTTTGCAACACCCTGGAGCCTGATCCCACGCCACGGACCAAATGGAAACAGGAAAGCTTTTCGCAGCAGGAAACAACAACAACAACAACAACAACAACAACAACAACAACAACCCCCCAAAAACTAATCATCCAGATACGTGGGGGAATATTTTTATAGGTATTTTATAGGTAGGTCCTATCATGTTTCAATGATCTGTACGTCTGTGTCTATGCCAATACCAAATGGTGGAAACATCTTTTAACTTGAATATACGAGTAGATATTAAAAGTCAGAGCTGCATGCTCAAAAATGAAGCCTGATGTAAACAATCCCGATCATAATTAGAAGGCACTTAGTTTAGGAATTTTATAATCATTTAATATCTCTAACTGACAAGCACCATATTTAGTTTATTACAAATTTATTTATTAGTTTATTTTAAGGCTTACTTCATTTCGAGTAAAAAGCACCCTGAGCACTTTATTTTTTTTTTTTTTAAAGATTTTATTATTTTTTAAGTAATCTCTATACCCAGTATGGGGCTTGAACTCATGACCTCGAGATCGAGTCGCAGGCCCTCAGACTGAGCCAGCCAGGACCCCCCACCAAGCACTTTATACAGATCTTACTATGGGATGGCAAACTACCGCTCTATCAAAAACTTTTCCAAAATTCGATGCATTACACCATCTCTCAAAGAAAACCCAGTGCTGTGTGTCTAGAGCTCGTAGGTACCAAGCAGCTTCTTACACTTTAGAGGACGATAAAGGGAAAGAGCGCAAGGAATGGGCGTTGTAGAAAGTGAGAAGCAGGCGCACACCGGCACCTCCCTGTGACAGAGAGCCATCTTGGACGTGACACACTTCACACACGCCCCGATCTTCTCCCATGTCCTCCCCGAACGGGGCAACCATGCTCTCTCCTGCCGTGGTTGAGGCCAGCTCATCCTTCCAGTCTTTCCGGCCGAGACCTGGAGGCGTGGCCGGGCTCCACTCCACTCACCAGTCCATTAACAGGTCCTGTCAACTGATGACACTTCCACACCCCAGCCATCAGCTGCTGAGAACACTAACTTCTCGCCCTGGGAGTACTGCTCCAGCTTGCTAAGTGGCTCCCCACCTCGATGTGGCACAGATGGAGTCTTCGGAGTCAAGATAATTCTCACATCCGCAGTGAAGAAGTCAGCCCAAGGCCCACCGCTATAAAGACAAAATCCGCTCACTCGCCAACAAGGAGGATGCGTGAAGAGCCCTCCCTTCCATCCGCTGGTGAGGAAGCCCTGCTCTCCTCCCGAGTACCAAAAAAAGCTGGCGTTTAAGAGCTAAAGGTAGTGACTTCCAACTTCAGGAAAAACTCCCTCTTGCTGCAAACGGACCCCCGATTTTCAAGAGGTGCCCCAACAATTCAACGGGGAGAGGATGCCACAAATGGTGCCGAGGCAAGTGGATGTCCACGTGCGAAAGGGTGAATCGGGACCCCTTCCTCAGAGCACACAAACATTAACTCAACATGAACCTAAGATCGAAGTGTGAGCACTGGAAGCGTAAAACCTAGTTCAGAGTCTCTATCCGTTGTAATAAGCCCTTAGTAGTGGACACAACCCAAATGTCCATCAGCTGGAGAATGGGTGAAACGTTGTACATCCACCACACACGGGGGTTAATCTTTGTGACCCTGAATCAGGCAATGAGTTTTTGAGACAGGACACAAATTGCATGTGATTAAAAATCTATCAATTGGACTTTACCAAAATTTAAAACTTTTGTTCTTCAAATTACACCAGCGAGAAAGTGAAAAGACAGCCATAGGCTGGGAGAAAATACATGCAAATCATACACCTGGCTGTGGATTTGTATCTGGAATTAGTTATTCTTTAAAAAGAATTTTTTTTTTTAAATATTTGTTTATTGTTGAGGGAGAGAGAGACCGAGCACGAGTCGGGAAGGGGCAGAGAGAGAGAGACACACACACACAGAATCGGAAGCAGGCTCCAGGCTCTAGGCTCTGAGCTGTCAGCACAGAGCCCAACTCGGGGCTGGAACTCACAAACCGTGAGACCATGACCTGAGCCGGAGTCGGCCCCTTAACCGACTGAGCCACCCTGGCGCCCCTAGAATTAATCATTCTTACTGCTCAATGACAAGGCATGACCCAACTAAAAAAAATGGGTGAAGGATTCAAACAGGTATTTCTCGAAAGAAGACACTACAGTACCTCACACCCACTGGAATGGCTGTAATCAACTAGAAAGGTTGTAACAAGTGTTGAGGGTGTGGAGAAATCCGAACTCCCACACTCGGCTTTGTTATAATTATCGGCAGGAACAGAAAACGCTGGGCCTCTCTGGAAAAGTCTGGCTGCTTCCTGGAGTGTTAAACACAGAGTCACCATGTGGCCCACAGACCCCACTCCTAGGTATCTACCTCCTGAGAAATTATGATATACGGCCACACGAAACCTTGTATGCGGAGGTTCACAACAGCCCTAAAGTGGACACGACCCAAATGTCCATCAGCTGGAGAATGGGTGAAACGTTGTACGTCCACACGACAGAACGTCATCTGGCAGTACGAGGAACGGAGTACTGACACCGCCACACGGATGCGCCTTGAACACAGGACGTCGAGCGGGAGAAGGCACACCCCGCAGCCCACATGTGTGACTCCACTTACACACAGAAGCGGAGGCCTAGGGAGACAGTGCTGCAGGTGGGGACGGATGGGGAGGGGCAGCTAACACGCACAGATCCTCTTGAGGGTGACAGAAATGTTCTCAAATCAGGCTGTTGGGATGGCTGCACAAGTCTGTTAATATCCTCAAAACCACTGAATCGTGTACTTAAAATGGGTAAAACTTATGGCATATTATAGATCTCAATAAAGCCATTTTCTTAGAGACTTAGAAACTGGACTAACAAGACCATCAATACTATGTCTATGAAAATTACCACAAGATCAGACGACCTTCACGGAACAGGAGTAGGTCTCTTCTTATAATTCACAAAACAGGGGCGCCTGGGTGGTGCAGTCGGTTAAGCGTCCGACTTCAACCAGGTCACGATCTTGCGGTCCGTGAGTTCGAGCCCCGCGTCAGGCTCTGGGCTGAAGGCTCGGAGCCTGGAGCCTGTTTCCGATTCTGTGTCTCCCTCTCTCTCTCTGCCCCTCCCCCGTTCATGTTCTGTCTCTCTCTGTCCCAAAAATAAATAAACGTTGGAAAAAAAAAATTAAAAAAAAACAACAACAACAAAAAAAACAATTCACAAAACAAATACTGAGTTTTATTATTTACGGTTCCTGAGAATCAGCAGAAATGATGCCAGGGCCTAGGTTATTTTTACAAGGGAAGCATTGTGCCAAAGGGCAAGATACACAGGTCGGAACACGGCACCAACTCAAAGAGAATTTAACAACGATCCAGGGCCATTCAGACTGGACACAAAAGGGAAGGTTTTACTTGGAACTTTAAGTGGCTGAATATCTTACTGTGTGTAATGGAATAAATCTCTTCTTTGTTGCCACCCATCGAGTTGCCTGACAAAAAACTACTAAGGGCTTATTACAATGGATAGAGACTCTGAACTAGGAACTTTGTCTCAAACACAAAACCGCAGACCTAATCCTTGTCCAGAAGTTTACCCTTCTGTGTGTCATAATTTACAGATTTCATTTTTCAACAGAGCTGCACAGAGAGCAGAAACTCCTTCTGGATCCTGTGTTGCTACTGTAGGAAACAGACCCCCGCTGAGCAGTAGAGACCCTACTCGGTTGGTGTGGCTATCTGGGTAGGAGTGTTTTTAACCAGCGGCACAGAGGATTCAGCAGGAACAGACAGTTCCTCTCTGAGAACGTCCTTTACAGGAGCCGGTACCAGAAGGAGGAACGTGCGCATGTGCGCAGGAGATGACAATCAGGGCACCGGTGGTCTTAGTGGACTTTGTCCAGGGACCTTGGTCTCCTGGGGCTGAGCACAGGGAAGCGGATTATTTCCGGGACAGGGGGTGGACTCTGGTGTTCCACACATCACACAAGGGACATCGCAGGTCTTGAGAGTAGTGAGGTGGGGGGGGGGGGGGGAATGGGGATAGAACAATTCTTTCCCTTGTTTTGTAGAAAGCAGCACCTCACAAGTTAGGGGGAAAAGTGATGACAGAAATGGAAAATAGGAGAGGGGCGTCTGGGGGGCTCAGCTGGCTTAACCATCCAACTCTTCATTTCGGCTCAGGTCATGATCTCACCATCTGTGTGATCGAGCCCCTCTTCAGGTTCTGTGCTGACAGCATGAAGCCTGCTTGGGATTCTCTCCGCCCCTTGCCCGCTCATGCTTTCCCTCTCTAAATGAATAACCTTAAAAAAAGAGAAAAAAAGTCTTCCAAGCAGAGGGAAGTGACGCCCTACCTGTACTGTTAGGACATTCACACGAAAGCAGGTTTGTGTCCAGAAACCATGAGGGCTGGGGGTGCCTGGGTGGCTCAATCAGTTAAGCGTCTGACTTTGGCTTAAGTCTTGATCTCACGGTTTGTCAGTTCGAGCCCTGCGTCGGGCTCTGTGCTGACAGCTCGGAGCCTGGAGCCTGCTTTGGATTCTGTGTCTCCCACTCTCTCTCAAAAATAAACATTAAAAAAAAAATAAGAAAAGAAAGAGAGAAAGAGAGAAAGAAAGAAGGAAGGAAGGAGGGAAGGAAGGAAGGAAGGGAGAAACCACGAGGGCTGGCATGAAGTGGCCCAATTTACAGGTATTGAAAGAAAAGAGTTCTGTCAACCCAGAACTCCATATAGGCTTCAAGAAAGAAAGAACCGGAAACCAAGGCATTCTTGGATAAATGAAAACCAAGAAAATTCGCCACAAGCTAAACACACCTAAAAGAACAACTAAAGGGAGTTTCTGAAACAAAAAGGAATGTCAGAAAAAAATTAAGAACATCAGAAAAGAAAAATCGATGGGAAGAGCAAAAATTTGGAAATACAACAAAGCCTCCTTTTCCACCTAAGTTTTAAAATTTTATTTGACAGGGGGCGCCTGGGGGGCTCAGTCAGTTAGGCGTCTGACTTTGGTTTCGGCTCAGGTCGTGACCTCACGGGTCATCAACTCCAGCCCTACCTCGGGCTCTGCATTAACAGCTCGGAGCCTGCTTGGGATTCTCTCTCTCCCGCTCTCCCTCTGCCCCTCCCCCCACTCACACTGTCTCTGTCTCTCTCAAAATAAATAAATAAATAACCTTCAAAAAAATTTCATTCCACAGCTGAGGCAAAAATAAGAACGCTGTCTGAGGAGGTTCTGAGACAGTGGAGAAGGGACACGGAGGACGGTCCCGAATGGGGCTGGTGCAGGAACTCCAAGGCAGGCAGTGCATGTACTCCTTGCCGGAACTGGCAAAAGAAATGCTGACATCAGTAAACAGTGAGAAGCTACGTGTATGCAGTTCTACAACCGCCTCATCCACAGAAACCACTCTACAAAGAGATACACTCAAAAATAACAGGTAAATCAAAATGGAATTCTAAGAAATGTTCAAGTGACCCACACGAAGGCAGAGAGAGAGAGAGAGAGGGAGGGAGGGAGGGAGGGAGGGAGAGAGGGGGAGAGACACAGAGAGAGAGAGAGAGGGGGGAAAAGCACGCGCACGTAAGCAGAGGAGGGGCAAAGAGAGAGAGAATCCCAAGCGGGCTCCTCGATCCCATGACTCCAGGATCATGACCCAAGCCAAAATCGAGAGTCGGACCCTCAACTGACTGAGCCACCCAGACGCCCCTCAGTCTGTACTTTCTGAGTAAGTTCTTGTTTCCAAATTTCTGAATTCAGGGAAACACCCAGCAGGCAAAGCATCCCCAGAGGGAACCGAAACTACCCCTTGAAGCAACAGGGACCGTCCTGCACCAGCAAGACCCCACCCACGACTGACCCCAAGACGATGACCAACCTTTCAGTGCCCACCAACTTTGTCCCACACTTTCCTTTCTGAACCTGGACCTTTGTTCAGCACTTTGGAGACAGTCTTTTGGGATGCTGGCCTCCCATCTCCCTGATGGGGTTTTGGAGTGGTGGTGGGGGTTCCGAGCTGATGGCCAAGTAAGAATTCTTGAAGACGTCTCTGGTACCAAAAGGGTGATTTTAGTAAAGCATGGGGACAGGACCCATGGGGAGGAAGAGCTGCACTGGGGTAGTGCAGGTGACAGCTTCTATACTGTGGAGTTGGGGCAGCCCAGGGGAAGTTTCCAGTAGGACTTCCGTACGCTAAGGAAGACTCAAGGATACTGGAGACCTAGCTCTTGTCAAGCTAAGATTGTTTTTCCCTCCAGCAGAGTATTATCACTAAGACAGTAGGGAGTTCCTGGAGATTAGGCTATTGATAAAATTGCCTTTTCCTTGTAATATTACCGAGATATTTATAAACTGATGGAGACTCTATCAGTCAACCGTGTGTCTTCTATCCTGTCCCCAGTCCTTGGGCAGCCAGGAGGGCCTGAGGAACGTCACACACATCCTACCCAGGCGGGCGGCTTGGGGGTGTCGGCCTGCCCCGTGCTCCCTCCTCATCCCTGGTGTTGGCCTCGCGGAAATAAATTCCTTTCCTGTCAGCAGGACTCCTTCCTCTGCCTTCGATTTTGTGCGTTGCCAGCGGCAGCAGCTGGTGTGTCTGGGCCCCACCAGCCAGGTGCTCTCGCCCCTTACGCCCTGGGTACCTGTGCTCACATAGCACCTCTGCAACAGCCTTCCTGGACCATCATCCCTAAGTCAGCCCGCACCCCCCCCCCCCGCCCTCGCCCCCGCCAAGTCGTTCTCTACCCTCTTAGCCAGTCTGTCTCTTATGTACCCAAGTTCCCCAGCCCCAAATCACAGTACACACAAAGCATTTTTCCAAACTCTTAGCCTTTGAATTCCCAAAGCCAGGGAGGACCAGGCACACGGTAAAAACTCCATAAATATTTGATGAGCAGAAGAGAAGCTGTGCTGAGAAATTAAAGA